CCTCCCTTCCTCCTAAAGACAGGGTCTCTCTACATATCTCTGGTTATCCTGGAACTCAACAATGTAGACCAGGCTGGCCTCAAACTCAAGATCCGCCTGCCTCTGCCTCTCCAGTGCTGGGATCAAAAGCATGTGCCACCAGGCTGGCTGAAATGAAGGGTTGCCTTCATCAGCTGCCATCAGTAGGCAAGTCTGCGGGGGCATTTCTTGATTAGAGGTTGGTGTGGGAGGGTCCAGTGCACTGTGGGTGCACCATGGTGGGTGGTGCATCCCTGGGCAGGTGTCCTGGGCTGCACAGAGAGCTGTCTGAGCAAGCCATGGGGGGCACGACAGTAAGGGTGTTTCCTCATTGCCTCTGCTTCAGTTCCTGCCTCCAGGTTCCTGTCTCCCATTCATGATCAATTGTAATTTGGAAGTGTAAGCAAAATAAATGCTTTCCTCCCTCACTGCTTTTGGTCATGGTGTTTTATCAGAGAAATGGAAAGCAAACTAAGATGTCTCATTTTATCTTGTTTAATAATGGCTTCAAAATTTAAGAGCAGAGATGCAGCAATTTGGCTATGCCAAAGGGAAACCATAAAGTATTTACTTAAAGTGAAAAGGTGATAGTTCTATTCAGGATAAGAAAAAAAAAAAAGCGGGCTGGAGAGGTGGCTCAGAGGTTAAGAGCACCGACTGCTCTCCCAGAGGTCCTGAGTTCAATTCCCAGCAACCACATGGTGGCTCACAACCATCTATAATGAGATCTGGCGCCCTCTTCTGTATACGTAATAAATAAATAAATTAGAAAAAAAACCTTAAAAAAAAAAAAGAAAAAAAAGTCTTACACAAATAAACCTTGTCTCAAAAAACAAACAAACAAAAAACCAAAAAAAAAAAACTGAAAAAACAAAACAAAACAAAAAAAACCCCAAAGTCTTGTGTTGTGTGTGCAGTTGCTAAATGCTATGGTAAAATGCACCTTCCATCTGGGAACTCATGAGAGGGGAAAAAGAAATCCATGTGGCAATGTTAAATATCATGTACAACAAACATGTATTAAATTTGTAGGGAAAAACATAACACACACACACACACACACATATACACACATGCACACACATTCTGACATCAAAGTATTGTGCCAGCAATTGCCACGTCTATAGTGAGATTTCAGTATGGGATTCCCTGAAGTGAGTGACTCCAAGCCACTGGCTGAAAGCATGAGATTTGGTTCCATCTATTGGGACATTCACTGGGGCTCTTGGACCATATCCTCCATGGTGTGCAGGGGGAACACAACACTTGCATAGCTTTGACTGAGAAACAAGTGACGAGACAGACACCGGCTCAGTCCTTCAAGGAGTTAGAGGTGGGATGGGGAGGCAGAGCGTCAGAGCCTTCATAGAGTCCTTCTGCATCTTTGGGGGAAGACTTTCCACTTTCCCTATTCTTTTAAGCCAAAAAAAAAAAAAAAAAGAGGTGGGGCGCAACGCAAAGAAAGATACCGTGAGGGCTACAGGGGGCATGGGCTGAGAAGGGTTCCACAGTATCCTTTCTTGCTTCCCCTCTGACCCCCAGGACAGAGGCCTTGCCAGGGAAGAGAACAGATGCAAGGGCAGCCACATGGCCGTTTGGCCAGCATGACCTTCCGATGACGTCACCTCTCTGTGGGACCCGGGGGTTCCCGATTCCCAGAAGGGGCTGAGGCCAGAGCGAGCAGCTGTGCCATGGGCAAATGGCGGCTGGCCTTCTGCTGTAAGGATTCACCCCAGCTCAGGGCAGGAACATCAGTGGAACCATGACGTGGGCTGGGAATATGACACTGGACTGTTGTGGGCTCCTGAAGCCTCGGGGAATGGGCAGGCCGTTTGGAGCTGAGGGCTCTCATTTCTAGGCATTTCAGGGGTCGGCGTATGGTCAAGGTTGGCTGCTCACAGGCCGCTAGAAGGGCAAAGGTGCTCAGCTCTGGGCTAAGGGAGATAGGAAGATACTGAGATGATCAGGGCCGGGACGTCACTGAGTAGCCGATCAGCCCCTAAACCATCATTTCAAAGCAGACTCAGGATAACGCAGGATGCTCGCTCTTGGATTAGACTAGAGTCAGTCTCTAACTTGACTTGGTATGAATAGTGTCGCACATTTGACAGGCGTCTGACATGTCCTCTCAATAATAGAAAAGGCATTGGATTTGGAACATCCAGGGGTTTATAAGGACAAGAATATTGGCTTGTTTCTATCACTCTCTCCTCTAGATCATTTGAGTTCTTGCCTTAGGCTCCTCTCTGCATTTCCCTGTCAGATCTGCCTTCCAATTCACCAATTCTCTCTCTCTTCACCTCTGTCTAATGCACCACCAGCTCCTTATACTGAGCTTCTCATTTCAAGACTATTTTATTTCCATTTGTTTCATCTGCATCTTTTTCAAAATTGTACAATCAATTTTGATAGTCTGTAGCTCATTACATAGTCTCCTGCCTTCTTTTTTCCCTTTCCTCCCTTCCCATTTCCTGTGCTAGGGCTCAAACCCACGCAGACTAGCACTCTAACACTAAGGCATTCGCCCCACCCTCCGCCCTCCTGGGAACTTGGTTACCTGCATAGAAGCTCCGCAGATCTGTGTCCAGACAGTTTTCCAGGAAGCGCCTCAGGGGGAGGATGTGCCCCACGGGGGCTGTCCAGTCAGTCAGGAAGTCCTCCACTATGTGATGGATGGCCACGGGCCGAGGCAGGGGCCACTGTGCAGGCCGGAATCGCATATCTTGCTCTGTGGGAGGAGGGAGGCATGAGGCCCTTCATACCGGCACCTCCCCCTGCTCTCATGGTGGCCTTCCTAGGGTGCTTCTGTCAGGCTGTGGTCAGCTTGGCCACCAGCCACTTTCATGTAGCAGGAGGAAGAGGAACCAGACCTGTTGCCTGTGGTTTCTGGGTGTAGCACAGGAACCATTGACTACATGGGGCTCATCTAGGCTCACTTCCCCCCTGCTGTGGACCCTGCCCTCGAAGGGCTCAGCCCACAGGCCACTGGCCCAACATCCCTGGAAACTGGACTCTAGGAGGTGGCCAGTCCTAGCGGGCCAGTGTTTGGTACTCCCCACACCCCGCCTTCCGCCTGCCGAAGCTGCCTTTGCCAGTGGGAACAATCCCCAGCTGGGCCCCCTTTCTTCTTTTGAGACAGGGTCTCATGTAGCCCAGGCTGACCTCCTGCCTCTTATTTCCCAAATGCTGGGATTACCAAGGAGTGCCTCACCACACTCAGTTCTGAGACAGGGGCTCATTATACAGCCCAGGCTGGCACTGAGTTTGTGGCAAACCTGCCCCAGCCTCCCCAGCACTGGGGTGACAGGCACCTGCCTGGTGCACCCTCTTCAACCTGAGGCCCTTCAAGCTCTGAACTGAAAGGCCTGGTACCCAGGCTGTGCCCTAACCCTGCTGGCATTTTGTGGATATCCTCCTGCGATCCTGCATGGAATAGTTAACCACCATCCCATTTTATAGACCAGGAAGCAAGCCTCAGAGAGGTTAAGGAAAATGGCCAAGACCATACTGCTCTGGGGACAGAACTGGGGATCTGGCCTGGCATTTCTGTACTGTGCTGGCCATGCATAGCCCTTGTCTGGTTATTGTTATTGTTGCTGTTTGTATGGGCACACACGCCACAGAGCCTGTGTGGAGGTCAGAGGTCAACTGTGTGGAGTCGGTTCTCTTCTTCCACCTTTATGTCGCTTCCGGGGATGGCAACTTAGGTCTCTAGGCTTCCCTGGTAAGGGCCTCTACCCACCCAGTCATCTTAGCCGCCCTCACCCATTCTTCTTAACACTAGCCGCAGCACCCCGCCCCCCCACCTGGAGACACCACAACATGACAGCACCCCTTTCACGACATGGTGCCCAGACATCATGCATGGCTTCCGTAGGTCCCCTGGGGTGCCGGGTGCCCTCCCTCGGTCAGCTGCAGATGTTATATATGGCCTTGTGGTGACTGCTGTATAGACAGAGGTGGTCCGAGAAGAGCCCCCTCCGAAGAGGCTGAGCTCAGGGAGGGTGGAGGCCAGCTCACCAGTGGGGAGGTGTCTGTAGTAGTAGATGACAGGGTGGAGGAAGTTCGAACGCCAGGCGTCTTCTATGTGTGCCACGGACCGGTCGTAGTAGAAGACGTCCTTCTCGGGCCCGGAGAAGTTCTGGCCATATTCCATGTTGATGACAAAGAGCCCGTGGCGCGCTGTCCTCCCTGTGAGCGTCTCCAGCTGGGCCAGCATCTGCATGGGGAACTCCTCCAGGTACTCAAAGGCTGTAGCATTCCTGTGGGTGGGACCCCGGGGGGGGGGGGGGGGATCCTAGGAACTCAGGGGCAGGGAGGGGTGCGGGCTCACTGGGTGTGGGGTGGGGGTACATCCAGCTCTCCACAGGTGCAGGGGTGTGGACTACGTAGGAATCGCCCACTCTATAATGTCACTGTGGCAGCTGTGCCTTCTGGGCTACCCGGGGGCAGGCTCTAGATGAGGGGGAGTGGGGAGAAGCTTGTCACTGTAGGTAGAGACGAGAATCATGGGGTCAGGGAGGTCACGGGGCATGGGTAAAGGAGGCGTGGGGTGATTGTGGGTTTAAGTGGATGGAGAAGGGTAGCTGTTGGCCTGTGGGGAGTCCGGGGGGCAAGGACAACAGTGTGACTCTCTTTTTAAAGGATGGTTGTGATTGTGGTGGGAGGCTGCTGGGCCAGTGTGATTGACAGGACTGGGATACCGACTGAGCACTGGGTCCTGCCAAGCGCACCCTGCTCTAGATAGCTCGGGCACTCATGGATGGGGCGGTAAGGATGAAACAAGATGGTGTGCTGAGCTCCTGGACTTCCTGTGTCCCTGAACTTCCTGTGGAGAGGCCAGGGCTTTGGATCAGGGCATGTCCTCTGCCTCAGGGGTCTTCCTCTATGTCTCACCTGCCTGTCTTCTGAGTCTCCCCTTGCTCTCTCCTCACACATCCTGTACTGTGTCCTCAGGCTCTGCATGTCCTGTGATTTGCCAGTAATCACTTGATCTAAAAGGGACAACCTGGTCCTTGCCTGAGGGGACTCTTATCTTCACCCTTCAGTGCTGCAAGGGAGCTATGTTCATTTTGCAGATAAGGCAAGAAAGCACCGAGCTTCACTAACTTCCCAAACCACACAGTAAGACATCCATAACAGACCTTGAGGTGTTTACTTCACTGATTTCCCTGCCAGGATAGATTTTTTTTTTTTTTTTTTAGCCTCTGCAGGCCTCCTTTGCCCAGGAAACAACTGGGCCACTCAGCACCCAGAATAGTACCAGAAGCAAGGGGCAGGGTATATGGGTAAAGCGGGGTCGGGGGAGATGGAATGGGAAGGGCCACTCACTCCTTCAACAGGATGATGTCAGCCAGCACACTGAACATCTGGTACAGCCCAGAAGCCTCGTTCACCCGCCGAATGATGGAGCTGGTCAGCTGTGTGATGGGGTGCTCTGTGGACGGCCAGGCGATGCCATGGTGCCGATTTTCCAGGAGCCGGTGGACAGCACGCACTGAAATGGCCAGAGGGAGGAAGGGCCAAGATTTTATCTTGGCTCACTGGAGGGAGGTTCGGCCTGGGGAACAGTGGCAGGGAGAGCTGTGTGTAAAAGGCCAGATGACAAATGTTCTTTCTTCACAGTCACCTACAGCCAGGGACCAACTGATTCCGTCTCTGGTATGGGGCAAAGTATGGGTGGGGGTGGATTTGGGTCTCAGTGGTCCACCCTTGCTTGAGGCCATCTGCACATGGAAATTCCCCTGCCAACTGCCATCCTTTACACTGGGTGCATCCAACCCAAACACAGAGCTCTCCACCTCCCCATTTCTATCTAGAGCCCAATGGACACTCAGGCTGCTTCTCTCCTTTTCAGCCCAAATCTACCTGTCCCTGTCTTGTCCTGAGATCTTTTGTAGAAAGCAATGGCTGCCCGAACCAGCGGCAAGGTGGTTTTCTTTACACCCGGGGCTGTTCTACCCTGTCGTGGAACGGCCTAACATAGACACTTGTTCTTCCAAAGTTAATCAAACACCCCAGCGCAATGAGGATGTGCCACAACCAGATGTTCATAAGAAGGGAGCCGTGGTGGGCCTCTGTCCTAGGCCTCTGGCTCCCTGGAGGAGACGGGTGGCCAAGCTGAGTTTGCAAGGTGTAAGAGCTGACGCTGGAGGAGCCTGGGAGGGCCTGGGACGGAGAACAAGTCTGGCACCTCGAGAAGGCAAGACCTGTGCAGAGCGGGTGACAGCATGCCGAGGCGTGGGACTTGAGGAGGTGGAAGAGAAATCATGCAAGAACAAGATTCAGAACGTCGAGATTGTCCCCATTGTTTCTGGTACTGTGGAAGGACCCGGGAGCCTTGTGCACGTTAGACAACTGCTCTGTCACGGGGCTACATTCTTATCTCTTTTCACTTTGAGACAGGGTCTGAGTTGCCCAGGCAGGCCTTGGACTTACTACGTAGTGCTCCCTGCCAGCTGGAGAGGATAAGGAAGAGTAAAACCGAGGCCTGAGGTGATAATAAGCCATCACACTAGATGGAAACAGGAGGATGGGAACTCAAGGCCCCTAGGGTCTGGATGTGGCCCAGGTAGTAGTGGCCAGGCAATATGGCACCCACTCCATGGGCTAAGGGGTCACGCTAGGTGCCACCACCTGAGGAGATGTGAGGCTGCAAGTAGGATCGCCCACTAACACCTTTCTGCTTCTGAAGATGCAGACCATGGGGATGACAGCGGACCTCCAGGGATGCTCAGATGAGCTTACGTGTTTACCACTGCCCCCTGCCAGGAGAGTTGGAGACTGTTGTTCTAAGGCATCAGCCAGCAGAGGCAGCTCAGTTGTCCCTACAGTGCCCACTCTAACCTGGAGGTGGGGACACAAATCTCCCCGTGTAGAAGGGCATGAGGACCCATGAGTCTATGCTGGGTTTGCCACTCCCTCTTTTTATATCACAAAGAAACCCGCTGGGTATGAAGATCTTCACAGCGGCCCCTCCATCGCTCTCCCTCCACACCATCTGCCTCATTGTCTTCACGAGGAAAACAAAACACAGACCAGGTGTGGCAGTGCACATCTGTGATCTCAGAACCAGGGAGGCTGAGGCAGGAGGATTGGGAATTTGAGGCTAGCCTGGGCTACCATACCCTGATCCTAACACAAATGCTTTACTGCCATTACTTCTTCCTGTTTTTAAAAAATAGCTTGTTTATTTTATTTCATGTGCATTAGTGTTTTGCCTGCACATTGGTGTTTTGCCTGCACTGGAGTTACAGACAGTTGTAACTGTCTGCCATGTGGGTGCTGGGAATTGAACCCGGGTCCTCTGGAAGAGCAGTCAGTGCCTTAACCACTGAGCAATCTCTCCAGTCCCTTACCATTCATTACTTCTTACAGGTCATCTTTCTTTCTCTGTCCTCAGCACTGTGGACCTTAGGCTTGTGGTGGAGGATACACAGAACAACATTCAGGCCCCTGAGTGAAAGCTTTCTTTTCTTTTCTTCTCTTCTTTCTTCTTCTTCTTCTTTCTCTGTGTAGCTTTGGAGCCTGTCCTGGATCTTGCTCTGTAGACCAGGCTGGCCTCGAACTCACAGAGATCCGCCTGACTCTGCCTCCCGAGTGCTGGGATTAAAGGTGTGCACCACCACCACTTGGCTGAGTGAAAGTTTTCTATTGGGGTCCTGGTAAGAAGGATTATAGACTCGACCCTCCATCCACTGAACTCAAGGCAAACATTGCAAGTAAAGTCCATACCAAGCTGAAGGCACCTGACCCCCCAAAAATGTGGGTAACAGCTAAACAGCTCACTCAGCTGCTTCAGTCCACTGCTTCCTCCACGGAGGGGAGAAAAGGGCAGGAAAGGACACTCTGTAAAAACCAGAAACCAAATCAAGCACAAACAGATCTCTCTGACCCTCAGATGTTTCCTCAGAAAAAACAAAGGCTGTGTTGGCCAGATGGCTCAGTGGATAAAAACATTTGCTATGCACACTGAAGAACTGATCCCATGGTGGAAGGAGGAATCTGACTCCCTGCAAGTTATCTTCTGACTTCCCCATGCATGCCGTGGCACATTACACACACACACACACACACACATAGACGCACGCATGCATGCACGCATACACACTAATTATAATAAAAAAGAAAGAAAAGAAAAAGGAAGGCTTTCTAGCCACCGCGAAGGGTGCCAGTGGTTCTGCAGGGATGCATGTCCTCAGCCTCTAGAATGTACTCAACATTTGGCAAGTTACTCCTCTCCTTCACTTTTCATTCTCCGTTTATCCTTAACATCACAAAGCATCAGTTTCTTGTTGGGAGTTATTCTCATGCAATAAATCAAATCATCATCATCATCATCATCATCATCATCATCATCATCACATTGAGACTTGAATCCAGGGCCTCCGGCACACTATATGAGTGCTCTGCCACTGAGCTAGTCTTCAGCCCTCAAATTACTGAAAAAAAAAAATTTTTTTTTTTTTTGTATTTTACAGGCAGACATTATCAAAGATAATAGAAGAGTAACCTGTTTAGAACGGAAAGTTTCAGAAGAGAATTGACATAACCCGTTGGGACTTTCACTGAGGTGTTCCCGCATGCTGTGGGATCTGCTTCCCAGGCGCACACACTAGGGAACTGCCTTATTTAGCCCTGTGAAAGTGGCATGTGTGAGACCACCCATCCCCATGAACACACCTCCATTCAAACTGCACGGGACTAAGCATGTCACAGGCTACCCTTAGAGACACCCACTGTGACTTTTCCTAGACATATCCCCGGACCACGAAAACATCCCTTTGCTGCTTCTGCAAGTCGGAAGTCCTGGGAGAGTGGCCCTTCAGCCAGGCTCACCTGTGTATCGGAATCCATGGATGAAGCCGCCAGCAGATTTCCGGTAGTCCACTGAGTGGCTGGCCGTCCCAAGGATAAAGAGACCCCGGCTTCCTTTGGACTCATAGCTAGCTCTGATCAGCGGGTACTTCTTGCTGAACTCAGTCCCTGAGGAGAGTCTGAGGGACCTGACAGTGGAGAGGGTTGTTAGGAATAAGAAGAGTTGCTGGAGACAAGGCCCTTGGTGTCTCCCTCCATTCTTGCAGTGCTCTTCTGGAGTCTGCTGAGGCCCCAGGGAGTTCTGAAGGTGCTGGTGAGGGGCCCCCCACCTCCACCCCACTTGGACTCACTGGTTGAAAATGGAGAAGTTGAACTTCCAGCCCAGGCAGCGGATGACGCGGTCATAGGCCACCCGCATGGCGAAGTTATCGTTGTCATCCTGGGGGAGGGGGACGGAGTCGGCACTCTGGCTGCTGTTGTCCTCCTCCAGGAAGAATTTGAGGGTGATGTGGAACTTGCCCTTGCTGTCCTTCACGAGGGCCAGATCCTCCAGGTCCGACTCCAGGAGTCCGTCTAGGGATTTCAGCTGGTAGGTGTCCAGCAGGCCATTGTTGATGGCTCTGGGGGCCCCACGGGCAGGCCGGAGAGGAAAGAAGGTTCAGGAGGGCTATCTAATGCTGGTGAGGGTGGGGAGGCTCCCTCATGTGGGGCTTTGTAGGTAACACTGGGAGGTGGTGAACTTTATTCTCTTCTCCTTTTTTTTTTTCTTTTTGGTAAAGATAAGATCCTATGTAGCCCAAGCTGGGCCTCAAATTCACTAAGTAGCCAAGGATGACCTTGAACTCTGATCCCACAGCCTCCACCTCCTGAGTGCTGAGTGGAGACTACAAGTGTGCGTCACCACACCTTGCTTAGGTGGACCTGGGGATTGAACCTAGGGTTTTAGTACAGGGGAGCCGAGCACTCTACCAAACTGAGCTATATGCCCAGGCCCTTGGGGGGTAGATACTTAAGAGCCTAGTGGCAACTCACTGGGGGTGATGCCCTTGAAGAGATTAAGACAGTTCTGTTGGTGTCCCCTGTTAGCCCCAGATAGAGGGTTGCTATAGAGGAAGGGAGCCGGACCTCCGCCTTGTTCTGGCTTCCGGTATTGTTCTGCAATCTTTCTCTCTGGCATATGTGCCTGCTGCTGTGATAGCACCTGCCCTGAGGTAGGTGCTGCTGGTGAGCCCTTGTTAGAGAGAGCAACCTACTGCTGGACTGCTGAAGTCATGAGCCCCGCCCCCCTCAGACATCTTCTTGCAGGATCGGGGAAACAGACTGGTACAGGATGGGTAGCACAGAACACACAAGCAGGGATGGAGCATACCTGATGTCTCCGACGTAGTGGGTGGCCCAGGAGAGCCGAACCCGCGAGCGGCTCAGCATGTGGACGAAGTTTGTGACACCCAAGATGTTCTCTGCCGTCTCGAAGGCTGAGTTCCCACGGCCCAGGATCAGCACGTTCTGACCCACAAAGTCTTCCGGGTCCACGGATACGGACTCGTAACCCTCCACATGTTCGGAGCCAGGGAAGTCAACCAGTTTGGGGACTGACAAACCAGTGGCTACAAGCAGGACGCTGCAGGTGGGGACAAAGAGAGACGACTCAGTGCCTCGGAGACACAGTCTCTCGGTGTGGGCGCCCCTAGCCTCATCCTGATTCCAGGCTCCTCAAAGACACGTCCACTCATGTTTACCCATTTACTCGCTCCTCCATTTACTGACCCACCCCAAGGTGCCTCTCTCCAAGCTAGCCACAGTCCTTCATGCTTTACTGGAAGAATACCACACTTGGGGATTAAGTTTGCTCATCGATGTTGTGATAAACCAGAAACATTTCCCCTAGCTTTGAACACAGCAGTGAGGTCAGTTCCTCTCCCCCTGGGGGGCATACACTCTAGCCTGGCATTAAGCCTCCTCTCCTGTAGGGGTAGATAAGATGATAGGATAAACACACACACACCTTCTAGCCCCACTGTGCCAGTGTGTTTATCCTATCATCTTATCTACCCCTCGATCTCATACGTTCCTCAGCTGGTGTCCCGACCCGTTTCACAGGTGAGGAGACACAGGGCCCCGTGGATCAGGGCATCAGAATTCTTCAAAGCAGTGGAACCACAATCTGAGTACAGAAGGGCCTGATCCCAAAGTCCTGCTGTTGAGACGTGGCCTCCATAGGTCGCACGGGCTAGCCTTGGATCTGGCACCCCCTCCTGTCTCAGTCTCCCAAATGCTGGGGTTACAGGCCTGTGTACCATCCTGGCCAGCTCTGCTCTTTACTGGTGGGGATTACAGCCGAGTGGTGGCAGCTGGCTATCTGGATTTTGCTGACTGCAGAATAGTTTGACTACGGGGTGGTTTCCATGTAGAACTTATCCACGGAAGGGACACATACAGGGAACAGACCCTTGTTCTCTCTGCTCCTCACTCCCTTCTACCCCTAAGGAAGCTACCTAAAATCCCAGAGTCCCAGTCGGGACACTCCCCTTCTCCAGGCTGCAGGAACAGATGAACAGAAGGTCTACCCTTGTTTGGAGTCAGGAGTGTGGCTGACAGTCAGGAAGGGAGCCTGAAAGAACAGAGGCTAAGGTGTCAGCAAAATCCCAGCCCAAATGTAGCCTCGCCATGTTAGTGGTGTGACACAGTACGGTGATCAAGGTCACTGAGCCTCAGCTCTGCCCTGCCAAACGGGAATTAGGGAACATCCTCTCTAGGTCCCTTGTGAGGCCTGAACAAGTTTGAGGTGCCCGCATACTGCCTCCTAGCCAAAGCAAGGTAATGTCAGTGTCTGGAAGCCACGCTTGTTGGACTTCTGCTCTGGTTCTGTACTGAAATTCGGACTGGCCAGTGTCTAATGCTGCCTGGACACTTCACCCTGCTTTTCTCAGCATGGGTTTTGGAGATACTTATTTTAGGAAACTATCAGGTGTGTCTTACCCATGGTCTCTAGGCCACATGGGGTCCACGATAGCTGTGAATGTGGCCCAAGGTAACTGGCAAAGCTTATTTAAAACATGAGATCTGTGTATGTGTGTGTGCTTTGTAATTTGACTACATGGTTTTTGCGCTTGAATCATGAAAATGACAATGTAGTGTTGCAGTGTCAAAGGCTGGACCTGCCTGCAAGGGTTTGTGGGTACAAGCTATGCTTATATGCAGTACCCAACACGAGAAGATCATAGAGAAGGCGCTGGGCGGTGGTGGCGCACGCCTTTAATCCCAGCACTCGGGAGGCAGAGCAAGGCAGATCTCTGTGAGTTCAAGGCCAGCCTGGGCTACAAAGTGAGTTCCAGGAAAGGCGCAAAGCTACACAGAGAAAACCTGTCTCGAAAAAACAAAAACAAAAACAAACAAACAAAAAAAGATCATAGAGAAGGCAATAAAGCCTGGCAAACGCTAGAGGATCAATTGCTAGAATTTTCCAGACATACTCAGCTACAGCTTTGTAAGGACATACCTTAGAAAGTGCTGGCTGTACCAAACCTCAGCACTGAGCCCCAGTGGGAGCAAGTGGTGCCCCTTCCTCCCATTCTTTCGGATCTCGAGGCCAATTCAGTGATGTCCTGATCCTGGGTGAGGTCCAGCTCCGTCAATGGGGTCCTTACCTGCACTGGTAAGCCTGGCCGTTCTGGTCGGTCAGGATGAAGTAATGGCCATTCCAGGCTTGTGGATCCTTGTCCAGAGTCACGTGGGTGATATTTGTGTTGTATAGCACGTGGAGGCCCAGGCGCTTCGCGAAGTCACCCAGGTAGTGCACCATGTCGCTGGCGTCCGGGAAGTAAGCCTGCGAGTAGTGCCTGAAGAGCAGCTGTGGGTCGTCGCTGAGCAGAGAGTTCCAGTCGTGGCGGAGGTTGAACTCGGCGTTGGCCTTGCCGGTGTGCCGCTTGTTGATGCTGATGAGCTTGCGGTGGCGCGGGTAGCGCGTGAAGAAGCTGCCGGGCGCCGACTCGCGTTCGAACACCTCGTAGTCCCTGCCGGCCCGCTGCAGGAGGGCGGCCATCTGCAGGCCCGCGGGACCCGCGCCCAGCACGCAGTAGTCCCGGTGCGGACGGGAACACACCGCCAGGTGCAGGGCTAGGGCCAGCAGCAGCCCCGAGGGACCCATCCTGCAGCGCAGCCGAGGGGAGGCCTCGCACCTCGTAGCTGGCAGCAGGTGACAGCCGACTTTCCTGAGGAACCAGAAACCCGGGGCGCGCCTGAGCCTCCCAGGGACCTGGGGCGTGGCCAGGACCGAGCCCCGAGACCTAGGGGCTCATCTATCTTTCCTCCATCCAGTCCAGGCGGGATCAAGGGCCCATAGGAATCCTGAACCCCCACAGCTCATCTCCACAGTCTTCTTTCCCAGGGCGCCAAGACTCCCTTATTGCCATGGTAACTTCCATCCCAGGGGAGAGGCAGTTTCCCCAATTTCCAAGCCTTCTGGATGTGCCCTACATTTTTTTTGGGGGGGGTCTCCCCAGCTAGGACCCTGCAGAGGCACACCCACCCTCCACCCTGGGGGTGGGTGGGTGGGAAAACCTGAAGGAGGTGTGGCCTCTAAGGCCCCGCCCCAGCCCCCTGGATCACATGAGGATGCCCCGGCACACCTGCCGCAGCCTCCGCGACCCCGCGCTGCTTCGGGCGCGTGCGCGGCGCCCAGGCTGCGCTCCCGACTCGCACGCCGCTGCCGGTGGCCCAGCGATGCTCCCACCGCAGGCTGCAGCCGGGGGAAGCTCCGGCCGGCTCGCGCCACGGCGGCCACGCCCCTCCCCCGCCTGGCCAATGGCAGGGGGCGGGGTCACGTGCGCCACGCGCGGCACGCCGGGACCGGTGGGGTGGCCGGGGCCGGCCGGAGTGCGCACACGTGCTGTGAGCGCTGTTCCTGGGGGTAGAGGCACCCAGGGGAACAGCAGGTCTGCGATGGGACACTAGGCCTGTGCTTTTGAGCTGTACTAATCCACGTGCCAGAGATGAGAAAATCTTGGCTTTTCTATCTCTTTATTACTGTAGCCGAAGACTAACTGGCCAGTTTTGTTGGGACTGATGAGTAATGGGACCAAGACAGATGAACCAATTATTTGAAACAGAGACTTAATTGTCCAGTTGTCGGAGGGGTGGGCAAGGGAAGCAATTCCCAGCACCTTGTAACTGACTGTCAATACACATTTAGAAGTGACATGGTTTGCATAAGACCACAGCTAAGCGGATTTTGAGACAGCATGATGGCTCACCCTTGTAAGCCCAACTGTCCTAAGACTGAGGGGATTGCCTCGAGTGGGAGGAGATCCTGATTCAAAATCCTAAAACCAAAGCCTCAAATTGAGACCCAGTGTCGGCAAGAAGAATGGAAGGAGGAAGATGATTTGATTCTCCAGGCTGGCCTCCTCAGGGTGGGCTACCTGGTTAGAAAGAATACTGTGTGACTGTGTGAAGAACAGAGACCTACCTTCACAGGCCGACGATGCAGACTTCAGTGAATCAAAGCCGAGGGTTCTTAGGGAAAAGAGCTGGGAAGGACTTTTCTACAGCTTTGCATGGCCGGAGCTGCTTCCTACTAAAAAGGAGCAGAGCTTCTGGAGGCCTTCTTTGGAACTCTGCCCACTTGAAGTTTTCCTCATTGCCTTTAACATTTATACCTTTATGATTGTCCTGATGAAATCACAGCCAGGAATGCAGCTGCTTCTTTTCTTTTTTTACAGCCTGCACCAAAGCAAGAAAAGCCCCTGGGGGTAGACACAAGCTATTTTGTAGTCACCGTGGCGACCTCGGTCCACTGGAGCTATGGCAAAGTACCGCACCCAAAATAAGGCAGAACATGTCCTTTCATAGCTGCTATGGAGATGTGTGGGTGCGAGAGGGAACTAGAACCTGAAAGTTGGTTTGGTGATGGAAATGAAATGCTGGCTAGGACCCCACCCTCAAACCAGACTGAGGTGCTGGAGAGCTGGGTTCCTAACCATTGATCTACTACCCTCAGGCCAGAACCATGGGAGCTACTGAGGAACACCTAGGGAACTCTCGCTGGTGGATCAGGCCACGGGTTCTGCTAAAGATTTGGATTCTAGTCCATTCCTCAAGGTCAGGACACTTGTCACACCACTTTGTGTTCTTGGCACCCTACATTAAAAACTTGTAGCCAGCGATGCTGCAAATTAGACTTTCCTGGGCTACAGTGAAACTTTCAGAAACTCCGGTTTTCTGCCCTGCTTCCTGATCCCCTGATGACAACCCAGCATCCTTTGCTGGGTTCTTGAAGGTCAGCTGTGTTGATTTATCTGCATCTTCAAGAAGGCAATCCCAGTCCTGAACCTGTTTCTTTATCTACATAGCTCTGCTTCCACCCACATTCCAGTTCTGAAGGGGCAGGCGAGGCATTGATGGAAAGCCTGGGGCGACTACCCAGGTGGGACAATTACTAGTGTTCAGAACAGCACTCAGAGAAGCCTACACTGCCTTTAAACATATACAGTTCTCATGTGACACACTGCTTTGTGCAGACTGGCTGGAGACTCTTTCTCCAGCCCAAGCCAACCTCAGAAACCATTAGTGTCACCACCCAGCAGACTGAAGCTGTCGTCTTCAAGAAGGGCCACCACCCCACCACACCCCGCTCTTGGAGACAGTAAACTTTGAAGACACCAGCTGGTTCATGCTAGGGCTAGAGGACCCCTTGTGGGGGCTCTCCCTCCATTGGGACCTCAAACTGCATGAAAGGGGCGTGTCATGGGGTTCTGAAACCAACACCCGAGGCCTCATGCTCCACAGGGACCGCAGTTCTCAGTGCTCCAGCAGTGATGGAACCTGAACGGCAGCCAGAAGGCTCCAGGAACTGCTGGGAGAAGGGCGGGCAGCAGGTCACAAGGGAAACACAGGACGAAGAAACCAAACGGACTTCAACTTTATTCCATCTGCCACAGAGTAGGAGCCACACACACGCTGCCCAAGCACGGCGGGTGAACACACGTGGGCATCAAACCGACTCATTTAAGTTTCTTCCTCTGAAAGAAAAAAACATCGAGAAGTGAGCCTCACCACGTGATGCAACACATCTTTCCCCTTTGAGGAACCGGAGTGCTAACGGCCTCCTCTTTGCTGAGCCCTCCTTCTAGGGCGGAGCAACTTTCTGTAGCCACCAGTGAGGCTTTCCGGTCATGATCCACATGGCCTTGCTTCCTCTCAACAGCTGCCCAGGGCCTCTCTAGATGCTTTCCCTAGTCTCCTTTGGTGACTGGCCACCCCACAGGAAGTGCCAGGAAGCAAAGTGACCACAGCACCAGCCCTCAGACCACCCAGGCTTCAGAGGCTCACTCTGCCCACCTTCCTCCTCCTCCTCTTCTTCCTCCTCATCCTCTTCATCCTCCTCGGAGCTGAAGGTGCCATCAGGCAAGCTGTAGACTCGGATGACCTGCTTGTTGGGGTCCTTGAGGATGAGGTACTTGCCCTCCTCCAGCTTCATGCAGATGTCAATGACGCAGCGCAGGATGCCCCAGGCATTCTCTACGCTCAGGTTGATCTGGCTGGCAAACTCATTGGGCTTAAACTGCTGGGTGCCCAGGATGACATGGCGTGAGGAGTCCTTTACGTGGTACCGGGACACATACCTGCGGGGGAGGACGATGGCGGTCATACAGGGCAGTAGAGAGATGGCAATGCCTGGGGTCCGGTCCAGTCCCTTGGTTAATGCCAGGCCTGCTGCTCTCCTCAAGCCAAGGGGGGAGCAGCCTCTGCCCCAGGCCTGCCCCAGCACCCACACCAGTCTCACCCGAGCTTCAAGTACTCAGATCCAGCCAGCAAAGCGCAGCAGGTCCACCGGGCCAGCTTGTAGCTGTTGTTCTTCAGCTCAGTGGCGATGACAGCCCCACGCTGAGAGTCCAGCTTCTGCCGCCAGTCAACGCCGTTACAGTGCTGTGAAGGAAAGCCAGTCACTGGGTGAGGGGCACACCCTGGCCTCCTGGAAGATGGGACCCACTAAGACACGAAAGTATGCCCAGTTGGGTAAACCGATTATCATCCCAGATATAAAGACATGGCATCTCTGTGTGTAGCCACTCAACCAGATGGCGATGATGGACAGGTAAAACTCATTACCAGGGTGCTGTGTAGTGACAAGGGGCCTCACACTGTGCCAAGGGGAACATGCAGCAGAGAAGGAAGATTGGGATGTGAGCGGCAGGTGGGCCAGCCTTGGGGGGCTCAGGGCAGGAGCCCAGCACCTGATGTTTCATAGGCGGACTTACAGGTGTGGGCAGTCCCAAGGTCACAGGGCAGGGAAACCCCCACCAAACTTTCTTGTCCATTCCAAAATGAGTATCTGACAGATTCTGTTTCCCTTAAAACTTGAAAACCTGCTGTAGCGCCTACAGAGTGCCATGACACTGAAGAGCCCTGCCACCATCCTGGGGACAATGACAGGCAGAGACAGACCGACTACAGAGTGGACAGAAGTCAGACAGAAGTCAGATGCCAAATGACAGGCCCAAGGAACAAAGAGTGCCTGAGCAGACCCAGGAATGGAGTAATAAGATAATGGACTCCGGGAAGGAGCATCTGAGTGCTGACAAGGAGCAGGGCCTCAGCTCTATCACTACAGACCTGACTTCTGAACACCCTGAACCAGCTTCCAGCACTCTTCTGGAACACACTGAGTTCTAGGGACAGGGTCACTGCCACCCACAACACCTCAACAGGGAATGAGACTACAACATGCTGGACGTCTGCCCACCAAATCCTGTCGCAGATACTGTTTGGGGCCAGTAAATTTCTTCTTATGTGTTTGTGAAGTATAAGGTACTCTGGGACAAGAGCCACATGGGGGTTACCCCAAGGCTCCACTGGGGTTCTTTTAATACAGTTCCTCATGCTGTGGTGACCCCCAACCATAAACTATTTCGTTGCTACTTCATAGCTCTAATTTCACTACTGCTGCAAATCGTAATATAGATATCTGACATGTGGCCTCTCAAATGGGTCATGACCCACAGGTTGAGAACTGCCATCTTAGAGTTAGTGATGACAGAGCTGGACAAAGGGATCACAAGGTGGCAGTGAGGCTGAGTACAGAAAGAGGCCAGGGAGTGACCAGGCTTCCCAAGACAAGATAAGGTCAAGATCAGATGTGTAGAGAGCTGGAGCCAGCGGGTAGCCAGAATGAATAGACAAAAGTACCTGAAGACAGGTGTCGAAAGAGAAACCTTAACTTGGACTGTTCTGTCAGCAGGGACTTAAGTGGACGAAGAAACTCAAGATACCCATGTATCCCTAACCAGCAGCCATGGCTGTGAGCACTGAAAGGACGGTCAGCTTACTCCAGCCCACCCAGCAGGGAACACAGCTGCGGCGGCGCCTCACCCTGGAGTCCCACTCGTTGAGCGTTTTGATGTTGATGAAGGACACTTCCCCGTTGGCTCCAGTCATGACACCATCATGCTCACAGCGGACGATAAGGTCAATGTCATCTCCTAGTTTCCACCTTCGGTAGCTACAAGAAGGCAAGATTCATGTTCCAGATCTGCTGCTCTGGATGGACCGTCCCAGAAAGCACAGGACAGGGCCTGTGCTCCAGTCTGGCTACACCCCCGTCAGAGCTGACGTACCGGTAAGCGACAGAGGCGATCTCATTCTTGTCCATGTCATCCTCCACAAAGGGGTTAGGGTTGGGGAAATTGTATCTCTCTCTCCCCTGCAGGAGCGACAAAGCTTTCAGGAGCTGCTGTGCCTTCAAGTCAGCAGACCCAGCACTGCTGT